ATCATAAATTTACATAACTTCCGTGCAGAGGACGGGTAAACTCCAGATAGTCATGCAATATTGTATCTGTATCATAAAATTACATTTCATTTTCTATTTCGAATAAAATTGTTTGAGCATAGCTGTAAAAGTTTTTAATTGCCATTTTTATCATCTAAGTAATAATGCCCAAGCTAGAATACCAGTAATATGTGGTGTAAATATGTGTTTGACTTGAAATCCCAATACTATTTGTTACTTCTTCTCACATAACAACTTTTCTCGGTTAATGCTGTCCTCTATATGCTCAATGTTTTTTTGCTAACCACTAGCCTTAATCATGAATTTACATAACTTCCATCCAGGGGGCGGGTACTCCAGCTAGTTATTAAATATGAAGCAAACTTTGTCCAACATTTTGTGGAAAGGAATTAACTTATAACTTGAAGTTTGGAATGGTTCAGCCCTATGGTAGAGCTCTGAATTTTGGGGCTGGCGAGCTGGGTTTCGAATCTTTGCGATACCACAGCTTAGGATGAGTTATAAGCATGGATGGTGGGTGGTTGGGTGGTGCTAGTTGGCTGCTTTCCTTGAGGTCAATAATTCAGAAGCTTTGTTATAAATAGTAGTGCAACAAACTATTTCATAAGCAACTAGTTACAGTTTAAATAAGCAGTTTTTGTAACATTCTGAATCCGAATTGGTTTCTAAAATATGTCCTGATTATTATTTACCTTGGAGATTCTTTTTTTAAGAATAGTAAGTTTTGTATAGTTGTCGTTAATTCATGGTAACAAATTATTAAGGAATTAAACGTATTATTGCAACTATGCCCATATATCATGAAGCTTATACTTCAAGAGTTGGACTCCCCATTTCCAAATTCCACCTCTACAATGTTTTAGATACATTGTTTATTATGACACTTTAGAATTGTGTACTTATTGACACTAAACATTTCTAGGTAGGGAAGTTATGTGTGTAAGCATTATCTGAACAGTTTACTGAAAAAGTACTTCTGTAATCTTTCTCAGGACTAGATCCAGCGGAACCATATTTTCAGTATACTGATCCAAAGGTACGACTGGATCCATCTGATGCCCAGTTCATTGATGTCATCCATACAGATGGAGATAGCATCATTTCAGGAGGTACATACCAACAAGAAAATATTCTTTTGTAGTCTGGTTGAATTTGTTTCGTTGTAGAGACTTATGGAGAAACATTGCATTTTCCTTGTGCTTTAAACTGTCAACGTTTAACTTGACAACAAAGAGAGGTTATGAATATCACGAAGCTTGACAAATCTAATATTTCAACATCAATCTAGACATGCAAAGTTTCATGTAGCTACTGTGTTAATACGAAACTAGAAATAAAGTGACAATAAAACTAGACATGCAATGTTTCATGTAACTACTCTGTTAACTTCAAACTACACATGCAGTGTTAGATATAGTTACTCTGTTAACATGAAACTAGAAATACAGTATTTGATGTAGTTACTCTCTTAACATCAAGCTATAAATGCAGTGTTTCATGTAGCTATTCTGTTAATATCAAACTTGACAGGCAATGTTTGATTTAGCTACCCTGTTAACATCAAACTAGACTTGAAGTGTTTGATGTATCTACTCTGTTAACTTCAAACTAAACATACAGTGTTTGATGTAGCTACTCTGTTAACATAAAGCTACAAATACAGTATTTCATGTAGCTACCCTGTTAACTTCAAACTAAACATACAGTGTTTGATGTAGCTACTCTGTTAACTTCAAACTAAACATACAGTGTTTGATGTAGCTACTCTGTTAACTTCAAACTAAACATACAGTGTTTGATGTAGCTACTCTGTTAACATAAAGCTACAAATACAGTATTTCATGTAGCTACTCTGTTAACTTCAGACTAGAGTTGCAGTGTTTGATGTAGCTACTCTGTTAACATCAAGCTAGAAATACAGTATTTGATGTATTTAAACTTTAAACATCAAGCTAGAAATACAGTGTTTTATGTAGCTACTCTGTTAACATCAAACTAAGCATGTAATGTTTGATGTAGCTACCCTGTTTATATAGTTTCCATCTCATATGATGATCATAAGTACTCCTTGTGTTTAGCTCTTTCATATATAATAAAAACACGAGGATATGAGAGTTTTACACAATCACTGAAAAATCTAAAACTATTCATTCCATTAACATGGTTAGCTTTTGTGAATACGCAAAATATCGTTCGATTTGGAGTTGTAAAATCAGAAAATTATGAAATATTTTGTCAGCAACGAGTTACATAAGATAGATTTAGCATGCATGCTAAAGACTTGCTAGGCTTATCAAAGTAGGGTCTTTTTAAGTTATTCTACACTTAATTCTTTATATATGGGTAATTTTTTAAATGTAGAACACCACACATAAAATAGAAAACATAGATACTGTTGAGAAACTAGAAATTGCCTTTGGTTAAATACATCATGTTCCATATTAGAATTTCGAATAATCCGAAGCCGAGTTAACTAATACTTTAAATTTAGTAGTTGAATTGTACTTTAGATTTAGTATTTAAATATATGCCAATATATTAGTCAATTTATGATATTTGCCAACAAGATTGATATACACCGTCTTCGTTTTTAACAAAAATATGTTTTAATATACACACAATACATTTTACAGTAACAATTATTACAAATAGTTACTACAAACAATGCTTTATAAACAAAAGTTTCACAAATTAGAAACAATATAAAGTTTAATTTCTAGTCTGGAATTTCCTTGATATCTTATTGAGGGTTTACGATGAGCGAGTTAATTACGAGTTGATGTAGATACGATTGGCTGGGAAGCTAACTAGTTTTGTCCTTAGCCAGACACGCACTGTTTTCCACCGTTGAAGTTAGGTAATGTTTTCGTAAAAATACTAATGACCGATGAGAATCCACTGAAGTTAAACGATTTGTAACGTTTGAAATTTATAAATATTCCTGGTCAAATATCTTAAGTTTTCCGATTGATAAGCGTTATAAAAATCACAGTTATAGCTTTCGAAGTTTATAGCACACTGATTATAGCGAATTACTAATAGATACTCTCTCTGGCGCGACCGTCGCGTTGGTTATATTTATAGGCGTGGGAAGGTTTTCTAGAAAAATCAGATTACATTACAATACTGAGCTGTATTTAAACATTTAAAGGAGTTTCCCAAGAGGTGGGGCGAAAAATCTTAACTTATATAACAAAGTTACGAATGGTAATTAGTAGGCATACTTATTTACGTGCTCAATGAATGCCAAATTTTGGGTCCGCTTTCGGGGAATCCCCTTAAAAGTGTTTTCGCGAAATATGAGACGATTCGTTTGGCACCATTTGATTAGCGTTGCTGTACATTGGTTGACTATGCTTAAGAAACACATTTAATATAGAAATGGATGAACCTGCACATTTATATTTTAGTGAGACATATAATGAGAATAGATATAATTCAAAGGTGTTGCCACAAGTTATGATATTCTAACGCAAAAAATACACACAGAATTAGAAGTTTTAGTAAGTGTTTTAGAGGCGTCAAGAATCAGAGAAAATAACGTATCTGGGAGTTTTAGAATTAGCCAGACTTTCAACTTTAGAATTTATCAAATTTTATCATTCCAATATGACAATATGTTTTGTAAAACATATTTGTACATATTTAAGCTTGTGTAAGATCCTTCAGTAAAAAATATTACTAGTCCAATTCTGTGATTCAAGATTACTCTAAATTTAAAGAATATTTTATCTCTTTAGTTTAGATAAAGAAAAGCTCTAAATAGCAAGACGAAGATTTGTATGTTTATTAATCTTGTCCAATACGTAGGTTTTGGAATGATGCAATCCAGTGGCCACGTGGACTTCTATCCAAATGGCGGAAGAAGACAACCCGGTTGTAATAATAACGTTGTAAGCTCTGTACAGCAGGAAGGTGATTTATATTACGGTTAGTAAGTCAATATGAAGTAATATTTAATTAACAATGACTATGAGGTTATTAAAATTTAAAGGAAAACTATGACAACTTTCATTTCAGTTGATTCCAAAACCACTTTGAAAGAAAAGCATAGCAAAGTTGGTTGAGTTTTTCACAAAGTTATCAAGCGTGTTTTCTCTTATAAGCATATCATTTAAATACAGTGAAGCTATACGCTGTATTGTAAAATGTTACTGTGTCAGCTTGAAAATGGAAAACATAAATTATTATTACGAAATTGCCTTATTTTGCACATGGAAATATTTTATTGTTTGTTATTATTGATTCCTTTCTAGTTTCTTGAGATCACTGTGATGCTTTATATCGTATTTTCCCGAGACATTTCAAAAATAAAGTTACACTGTATGGATTCGATCTCGAGACTCATGCAATCACATTAGATGCTCATATCTCAGTGATAAGTTTCGGAGCTTACATGCTACAATTCAGATTTTGACGTCCGCGGCCATTGGGCAGGAAAGCTGTTGTTGGTTTTTAGCGTACAACTACACAGTGAATTATCTCCGCTCTCTCCACCACTGAGAATCAAATCCCGTATTTTATCATTGTAAGTCAGGAAGCTTACCATTGAGAAACCTGGAAGTCTTAGGGAAGCATCTTGCTTCTATTTTCCGTTGTAAAATGTTATACTAATTTTTTTTTATCGAAATAACAGTAGGCTTTTCCTGCAACACCTATTATATACAAGTATATATAATTTGAAAATTGTGGCTTTGCATGGCCTGATGGTCAGGGCGCTTGATTCGCAATATGCGAATCACGGGATCGAAACCCCTCACCGAACATTATCGCTCTTTCAGCTGTGGGGGTGTTGTAATCTGACGGCCAATCCCACCATTCCTTGGTTTGTTTGTTTGTTTCTAATTAAGCTACACAATGGACTATCTGTGCTCTGCCCACCACGGGTATCGAAACCCGGTTTCTAGCTGTGCCACTGGGGGGGGGTCCATTCCTTGGTAAAGAGTAGCTCAAGCGTTGGCGATGAGTGGTGTGTCTGGGATTAACACCTACGACCCTGCCAGCAAAGGGTTTTACATCGATATGAAATAGATATTTTCATACATTTATACTACATTGAAGCGTTTCTTCAAGAATAGAGTATGTATTGCTTGATTATTAAAACACAAGCTAAGCGCAATACCAATCCAGCGCTGAAACAAAAGAAAAACTTATTTTTATATGCTTTCTGTTACACAGCCCTTAGGTGGCTCAGCGGTATGACGCTAAAACTCGGGTTTCAATACCCTTTGTGAGCAAAGCACAAATAGTCCATTGTGTGGTTTTACGCTTAACTAAAAACAAACAAAATCTCTTGACAGCCTCTGGAGGCTTGGCATGGCCTAATGGTTAGGGCAATCGACTCGCAAATTTTCGGGTCGGTCGCGCATTCGAATCCTCTATAATGAACATGCTCGTCCTTTCAGCCGTGGGAACATAATAATGTGACAGCCAATCCCACTATTCGTTATTATGAGAGTAACCCAGTAGGCGGTACGTGGTGTTAACAAGCTACCTTCTCTCTAATCTACCACTCCTAAATTAGGAATTGCTAGCGCAAATAGCCCTCTAGCTCACACAAAATTCAACAAACAAACAAAAAAAATTGTACGCAAATAATGTTACATTAGCTTACAATGTAATGAAAAGGCTAAAGGAGTCACTTTCGTTTTATGAGGTAATTCAAAAATAGTTAAACGTACTTTCATACTTACCTCTGAGTAGTAAGTATGTATTTATGTCACTATCGCTTTACGAAATAATAAATTAAGCTTTAAAGTTTTTATTATTCGTACTCCTAACTTTATCTGTGATTTGCAATATTTTAGTGTATATAATTAGTCTGAAAAGTACATTAGTTCAGAATATGTCACAATTTGATAAGTCATTTACGCAAGACCAAAGGAAAATGACGTCAATAATCACACAGACGAATGCTCCTTGAATTGTATTCAATATATAACTAAAGTTTTACAGTTTCATGCTTTAAAATATTGTTAATATTTTTATAGTTTTGTGGTATTTTTCAATATGTTATTCCTAACTTTAACGTTACCTCAATTTAATCGTAGTGTTGAATAGAACGGTGCAAAATTTGAAACGTGATACTGATGGACACTCTCTGTACTTCCAGTTGTGGGCGCGTTATAAAATAAACAGTTAATTCCTTTATTGGATTCAAAGAGTCTGACAAAGCTTTCATGACAGCGCAAGTGCTGGATGGCAGTGATAATTGGTGTAGCTAGGCATTCTGGTGACCTTTTTTGCATATATAATCTTATAAAGGCTACATAAAGTATTGTTTTACTTGTCACATTTTTAAGCACTACATTCTTTATCTAGTCATTCGGAGATTTTCAAGAATTTTAAGAGTGTACAATAACAGTATTCCAAGGACAGTATATTTGTCATATCCATTGCCGTAGACACTTTTTGCTCAAACCAGAACTTTTCAGGACGGCTGAAATACAATAGTGCTCAGAACACTATTTATATAAGCCATTTGATACAAAAACAGTTGTTATGGTGTGTATCACTTTTTCACATTTTAATTACAATCCTGCTTCACCAGCTTTTAAAAGGCGTTCATGCTATAACAGTTGTTACATATGGTATTGTTAAAATTTAGTTAAAATTTTTGTTTTCTAAATTCTATTGGGAGAAAACAATCATGTTGGTAGCTCAAATAATTATAGCACAAAGGTCTTTGCATTAATCGATATGTATATATATATACTGGCATAGAATGATCAAACACAATTTATCAATATAATGACAATATGAGAATACTTTTCCATTAACCCATTATACTATTTATGTTAATTAACATAGTGTTTTGATGTACATACAAGACTATTCAGTTTAAGAGTTATTATTTAGTCTATTTAGTGATATGATATTTAATTATTATATAGTTTTCATAATAAGAATGTTATAAGCAAATTATATTAGAAGTGATAGTTATGATAAGTTTTGTTACATAACTCTGCATGAGTCATACGTTGTGTGTGTAGATTAATTGATGTACTAGGCTTTTGTAATATTGTTGAAGTTTCTAAGTTTTTCTAATTATGTGTAATATTGTTGTTACTAGAGGGCTAGATATTTCTAGATTTTTCTGTCGCATGTTATAAATACGTGCAATACAGAGAGGAAAAAATAAGTTAGTGAAAGTAAAAGTGAAAATAGTGAGGTTAGACTGCGTGATTTCCAATTTAGCCGCAATGGGCGATTTCTAAAGGGAGTCTCACAGCTTGTATTGTAATCACAGAGATAGAGCAGAATACTTTATCTTGTCAAAGGATGTTCTAAAGTAATTGAACCCGCTTGTATGGACTTTGACGAAAAAGAGACAATTATTTAAAGCTCTGGATAAAACTGTAATAATCAATAATGTCACGAATTTTTGTATATACAATTGACAATCCACCTGTTTTCAATATATTATTCTAAAACAAGTGGATTGTATATTGTCCGTTAATTGTTGAAATTTACCGCCAAAATGTGACAGACACCTGCAGTAAAAATTGTGGCCTTTTATAACCTGACACATTTCAAATCTTCCTTTCTTCAGTAACCTATTAATGCAGTACTGTATTGTTACTGTACACACGTGTATACGCTTTTTCATTTTAAATGCAAGAATATCACTCGGTGCTTATATTGCCATGATATAACTAAGCGCATTTCACATTTTCATGTAGAAGGCTTAATAACACGTATTTTTAAGATTTTATATAAAAAATATTCATATCTGAAATTGTTTAATGTTGCACAGGCGTACATGAGCATGTATGCCTAGCTACGCCCCTGGTAATTCAGAATTTGAGATGACTTTATTTGAATTCCTTGGTGTCTCTGACCTGGCTGTTCAACTTATGTAGTGTGTAAGGTGACGCTCAGTTTGAAAATTCTCATTTTAACTATATGACGAGTCTACGTCTATTTCAAATTAGACCTTAGGTATGAAAGACTGCTTGCCGTATATATATATATTTATATACATAATATAATTTATTTTACAGAAGCTGCTCCCTCAGCATTCCATTTGTCATTTACATACGCGAGACGTGGTAATTTATTGACTTGCTATTTAAGATATTGTGCTTTCATGTTTTGAAATATTATCTTTTAGTTTTCTAACCGTAACAATAACATTTTTAGGGATTTTATTAATTCACTGAATCACGAGTTTCAAAGTGTTCGTCACTTGTTCATAAAATACTTTATTCGCGGTTTTTATCTATCGTAGGTGTAGTTATTTGTAATTTCTGATTCAAGTAATATATATATATATATACCATTTACAGTGTTAAACCTATGTGATTTTTCACAGTTGATCATTATGCAACTATATAATTCTAATTAAAAAATGATAACTCATCACCATTCCAGCCTTAAAATGGGGTATAACGCACTGTAACAAGGGGTACAGACTACATTATAAAATGTATATATAAACGCCGAAGAGCAAATAAAAAGTATATATACTGCTGTGCTTGGAAAGTCTAGCTTTAATGAACAGTTAATATGAAACGTGCTCGTTATTTAAATGAAACATCAGTTTAGTTTTGATTATTTTAGTATTGATTATAACTATATGCATGTTATAATTGCATTTTTATGTTTTAGAAAAAATAATATTTTATTATAATTTTTTGCTTTTTTTATCTCATTAACATTTTGTTATATGGATTTCTTTCAAGTTTGGCATGTTAATAGCTCAATAAATTAACATGTGAGGGTATCACTTTTCATATCGTTGGAATTTAAAAATACAAAATTTTATAAAAAAAAAATGCTATAATACTTGGGAAACAAATCAGCCCAGTAGTTAGAGTGTCGAACTATGGATCTGCGGTTCCATGGTTCTCTACCTGTTACTTTTCAAAATATATCGCTCTCCGCACTATGGAGGCATGGTTGATCGTCAAATTCAAGACTTCCGTCAGACAAGTCCATTTTGAATCTTTCCACAGCTAGTATGTCTACACAGGTCAGCAGATATAAGTCAATTCTTGATCTTTTCACAGCTAGTATGTCTACACAGGTCAGCAGATATAAGTCAATTCTTGATCTTTTCACAGCTAGCACGTCTACACAGGTCAGCAGATATAAGTCAATTCTTGATCTTTCCACAGCTAGCACGTCTACACAGGTCAGCAGATATAAGACCATTCTTGATCTTTTCACAGCTAGCACGTCTACACAGGTCAGCAGATATAAGACCATTCTTTATCTTTTCACAGCTAGCACGTCTACACAGGTCAGCAGATATAAGTCAATTCTTGATTTTTTCACAGCTAGCACGTCTACACAGGTCAGCAGATATAAGTCTATTCTTAATCTTTCCACCTTTAGCACCTCTACACAGAATAGTGTTTTCTTCCGATGGATGAATGTTCTCGCAACGCTTTCTTTGCCTATTAACAGAACAGGTACCACCTTAAATTGCATGGTATATGAAGTATTACCGATTTTCGAATACAGTATGCATAAAATTTCTATATCATTCACATTAATTAAAGAGAACGTTTAACCATGCTTATTTATGTAAGACCATTCTTAATCTTTTCAGAGCTAGCATGTTCTTATCTTTCCGCACCTAACACATCTATTCAATTAGTAGGTTTAAGTCTATTTGAAATTTTTTCACGGTTAGCTTATAGTTGCCCTGCATGGCCAGGTGGTTACGGCACTCGACTCGCAATCTGAGAGTCGCGGGTTCGAATCCTCCGTCCCACCAAACATGCCCGCCCTTTCAGCCGTGGGGGCATTATAAAGTGACGATCAATCCCACTATTCGTTGGTAAAAGAGTAGCCCAAAAGTTGGCGGTGGGTGGTCATAACTAGCTGCCTTCCCTCTAGTCTTACACTGCTAAATTAGGGACGGCTAGCGCAGATAGCCCTCGTGTATCTTTGCGCGAAATTCAAAAACAAACAAACAAACAGCTTATAATTAATATATATATATATATATTCATTCTTGAGACGATTTCGTAGTTGATCAGTATATGTTTTTATTCAGTTCTAAAATATTGTTTAGACTAATCGGAGCCATATATTATTTATGGGAGAAAAATTCTAGTTAACTGTTTATACAGCTGACTATCCTTTGGCTGTGAAGATAGCTTTGGTAGAATGCATTCATACTACTGGCTTATAATAGCTCTTACTTTAGCAGTTTCTCCTGTTGGATGAATTTTCTACACCGTTTAGTGTATTAACAGAATATATACCACCTTGATTTCTAAATATAGTATGCATTCAAGTTCTATATCATTTACATTACTTAAAGAAAACCATTAACCATGCTTTATGGCAACTGTTATATATGTGTGGCTTTATCATGATATAAAAAGACTGTTTAGTTTAGATATACTTGATTAATTTATAAAATCATAAATAATATTCAACGTTAAACTGGTACACAATTAAAATTTTTAATTAAAAAAGAAGAATAATTTATTCCGTCAAAGCGTGGTGCTAAAGTAATTGAATCAGCCTGAGTACACTTTGACAAAAGGAACAGAGGATATTTTGAAAAAGAAGACCAAACAATTACGATAACTCGCGCCACAATTGTAAGTGAATCACACACAGAATACTAGTGCGACAGTATAGAGAAGATAGTTCGGCTTGTCAACTGAAATTCTATAGCAACTGAATAGGCCTAAGTAGATTTTTGAGAAGAAGAAGATAACTATATATATATATAGTGTTTATGATATGTCTATAATCTCTAGAGTGTAAAGAATATGTTGTACATATGTTTCACTTGTTCTGATTATATATATTATTTTGAAATCAAGTGAAGTGTATGTTGTTCTTTATCATTGAATTTATTGTCAACATGTCACAGACACCTACTATAGGAGAATCCAAAGCCCAACAACAACACAGTATATATTTATAGTATTAAGAAGTATAAGTAAAAGCCTTTTATTTTGACAACTGGCCAGAAAAAATTTTATATATATATTAAATCTGACAGGCTTATTCAAGAAGTATTTTCGCCAGGTTAACTGGGTGTTGCCAGCGTTTTTTTTCCTGTTGTACCTGAACTAGTAAACATATGAATAACAGATTATGTCGTCTCTAGATGCGTCAATACCTGGGGACGATCCTAGTATCAGACGATTCTCAGATCTCCTTAATGGGCCTGTGTGTCTGATCCATGTGGTTGAGTTTCAATGAACATTCTACTCAGTTTCACAACTTCATCTTCTTCTTTGGCTTTTCCCTTTAAAAGGGGTTGCCATCCTTCACAAGTTTTGTCCTCCTCCAATCATCTTTGTTCATTGCCAGATCTTCCACAATTCCTCTCTCGTTCAGATCTTCCCTGATCCCATCTTTCTAACGCTTTACTGACCTTCCCTATCTTCTTCTGCCGGCTACTGGTAATTTTAGTGCTTTCCTTATTGTTTGTTTTTCTTCTCTTCACATGACCGAATCACCTCAGCCTCACTTCCCTTTTCCGCGATTCCATAGACTCCTGCCATTTCCTTATTCGTTCTCTTCTCGTTCAGCGATACTCCCAACAGCCACCATAGCATTCGAATTTCTGCTCTTATCAACAAGACTTCTTCTTTCTTCTTTAGGGACCAAGTCTCATCTCTGTAGAGGAGCACCATTCTAATCACGGTTTTATACACTTTGACTTTCAGTGCTCTTGGTCATCTTTTTGTCACAGATGACTGTGTCTTCTTCCTTCCATTTCTTCAAATTTGTCTAGATTATATTTCTTTCGGCCTTCTCACTTCTTCCTCCACTTTGGATTTTATTTTCCAAGTACCTAAAGACTCCAACAGCTTCCCGCTTACATCTGTGATCTTGAACTTCTTCCCCCTCCCTCTTCCGCTCACCATGACTTCCGTTTTTCTGGGATTCACTTTTAAGCCTCTTTCTTCCAAATTCTTCTGCCACACTATCTTGCGTTTGTAAGTTCTTCGGCGAATAGTAGATCTCACAGGAGTCTTTTGCGGCTCCCCCTTATTGAAGACGTCGATGACAATGACGAACAACAGGAGGCTAATTAGCAAACCTTTGGTACAATCCAACGTTTACTTCAGATTTCTCCGCTTCTCCATGTACCGTCTTCACGATTTTTGTCGCTCCTCTCTTTCGGAAGCACCAGAATATTAATTCTCGACTAACTAAGAAATCTGCCGACTTTCCTCTGATGTCAGTTTATTATATCTTCAAGTTTTAACGTTTACGTTTCTTTCTGAAATTGAAATCTTTAATCTGAACGGTACGTTAAGTTCGCATGTGTTATAGCGCCCTTTAATATTGAACCACTGACCAGAAGGAAGAACATAAGAAGCAACATCTGCTGTTACAAGGGCTTTGTCTGTCTCTTTGAATCAAGTAATGAGACTGACTGTCGCTTTTATAACACACCTACAGCTAAAAATACAGACCCTTTAATCTTAAGTCAGTCACGCTGACCACTTAGTCACATCTGGTTTGTTCTTTCTGAAACAAGTTTAGATTTTGTTTCAAATGTATTTTTCGTCCATTAAGCGAAGCATGTGTTTCTATTTGTTTCGGTTTGATAATGTGTTACCTTTCATAGTTAACACGTTTCTTTTACACACTCCTTATAGCTCGCTGTGTAAAATGTACTTAAATATCATATATATATCAGGTTGGGAAGTATACGTAATACTCTTTCAAGTAGAGAACCCAGATTTTACAGAACTTCATACAGTTTATATAAATTTACCTTTATATAAACTTTTTATTCTCTTTGATTCCTTTCCATTGTTAGGTATCCGTCGATTTGTAGGCTGTAACCACATCCGAGCGTACGAGTTCTTCTCCGAATCCATTAATACGGACTGCCCATTCTTCGGATACAAGTGCAATAGTTTCGCCAACTTCACCGCTGGTGTTTGTACTGATGGGTGTGGGGATGGATCATTTTGTGCTCCCATGGGTTTTAAAGCCGACAAGTGGCAACGCTTCAAAAAAGCACAACCTGTGAAAATGTATCTTATTACAGGAAACGTCCGTCCTTTTTGTCGTAAGTAAGGGTGTAAGTTCTTATTTTAAAAAAACATGACAACTTAAACGCTACTTAAAAATTCTGGTTCTCATCTTCCGGAGATGGTCCATAAATGTAATTTAAAACCATCGAACTGATGTATTTAAGTGTTTTACCCTCACAAAAAAGGAACCTACCATTCTATAGGTATTTGAAAAACGTGTAGCATTTTGCCACAATTTAATTTATCGTATTGTTACCCGACACTGGGCAGCTGTACATAATTGAATAAATAGAGTTGTTTAAACATTTGTTTAACAACAAGTAAAAGCTTGGAATGGTCTATTCTTTCATTGGGTGTCAGCTAACAATAAGAAGAATTAAATTGTGGCGGAATGCTACAGTTCTTCAAATACCTATAGAATGATAGGTTTCTTTTTTGTGAGTATTAAACACTTAAATACACCATTTCGATACCTCACTACTACAAAGGCTTGGTTTAGTTTGATATTTCATTGGTGGTAGCGTCCAGTGTCACTGATGAGGAGTGGAATTCTTCGAAACTAGTCTGGCTCACAGACACACGCTCGAATGAAAGAATATACCATTCCAAGCTTTTATTTGTTGTTAAACAAATGTTTAAACAACTCTATTTATTCAATGTAAAACCATATTATTCACATTCAGAGAATATACCAGAGTGTAGTTTATTTTTAGTATGAAATTAAACATAGAAACGGGTACTGGATACAAATGGAAATTTAAGATGTTATTACTGATAACAATTTGATTTACGTTAATTCTGTAAGACAGAAGTTACACTTTTTTTCTTTTTATATTTACGTAAATTAAACTCTTTTTATTCCATATTGTTTTTTATGCGTGTTATTCAAAGTAGGGATAATGTTGGGTGATATATCTTCATGAATTTTCAGAATATCATTACAACATCAAAATTAAGATGGAGAACTCTGAAGAAAACAGAAAAATTGGGCCTCAGCGTGGCGTTATTCTTGCGAAACTAACTGGTAGAAGAGGTCAAACTTCTGTAATGAGAACCTCAAGAGAGTAAGAAAGTATTTTATTTAACTTTTTTTTTTTTTTAGATATGGTTAAAAAATACAAAATGCTTATCGCTTATGCAAAGATAACACCACAGATAAAGTACTTGAAAAGTCGTTCAGTGCAGCAAACGGTTATTGGTATAACCCTATAACTTAAAACTATCCCTATATAATGGCAAAAGAAAACTTAAAACTTATTAATGAATCAATGTGTGAACAAATGAAAGAAAAAATCGAACTATAAATAGCTTTTTTTAAACTTATTTTAAGTTATTTAATTTTTTATTTTTCTTTACTGAAATACATCATATTTAGACCGCAAGAGTTTAATTCTGGAACGACGTACGAATTCCTTATGAGTTCATCAGAATTGGGAAGTCTTCTACGAATTGATATTGAGTGGCGGCCAGTTTCACCTTTTTTCAATTTCAATTTCAACACTTTCAACAGACCAAATGATGTAACTCGGCCTCTCAGGAATATGTTCATTCCTGTTCGATCTAGATTGCAAATTCAAAGCTTCGAAGTGAAAAATCTTGAATCTGGAAATGTGTAAGTATGCACTGAAGTTATGAATGTGAAACAGGAAACTAACGTACATCACACACCAACATACTGTATCTAATCTCATTTAGATTTGGCTGGTTACAGTATTGTTCAACAGGTGAACCTAACATTGTAACCAGTCTAGTTGTCTAACAGGTATTGTTCAACAGGTGAACCTATACATCTGTTAGACAACTAGACTGGTTACAGTATTGTTCAACAGGTGAATCTATACATCTGTTAGACAACTAGACTGGTTACAGTATTGTTCAACAAGTGAACCTATACATCTGTTAGACAACTAGACTGGTTACAGTATTGTTCAGCAGGTGAACCTATACATCTATTAGAGAACTAGACTGGTTACAGTATTGTTCAGGATATCTGTTAGACAACTAGACTGGTTACAGTATTGTTCAACAGGTGAACCTATACATCTGTTAGAGAACTAGACTGGTTACAGTATTGTTCAACAGGTGAACCTATACATCTATTAGAGAACTAGACTAGTTACAGTATTGTTCAACAGGTGAACCTAACATCTGTTAGACAACTAGACTGGTTACAGTATTGTTCAACAGGTAAACCTAAACACCTGTGAGAAGATAAGAAATATTCTAAATCACTTGAGGTTTGGTTGACTTACTGGTTATTTTATGTCAAATCTTTAAGGTTGCCATATATATCAAAATTAGAACTCATTTATAAATATCATTAAAATTAATGATAAGTTGAAATATTTCCTGCAAATATGACAACTATCATAGAACATTTATTGAAGGCTCACCCATTTGAAGACAGTAATGTTCTTTTCCTCATATATTGCACTAAATTCGTTATTAGTGAAATAGATAGAAAAAAGTGCAAAATTTTAGGCCTTATAAAGATTCAAAATCATTTCGATTTTTTTTTAATGTGGATTCTTTTATTCAGTCGATAGGCGCAATATCGACATAAATAGTTTGTATCAAACTAAGAGTATTAAGTACAACAATATCTTATAATCCTTACTATATTGTTGAATTATATATAAAGCCATTTTAAAAATCGAGAGGGGAGAGACTTGCATATTTGGCTGTTAAGGCTTAAGATATTCAAACTTGGATGGATCTGTTTGTTTGTTTTGAATTTTGCGCAAGCTATACGAGGGCTATCTGCGCTAGCCGTCCCTAATTTAGCAGTGTAAGACTAGATGGAAGGCAGCTAGTCATCACCACCCATCGCCAACTCTTGGGCTACTCTTTGACCAACGAATAGTTGGATTGACCATCACATTATAACGTCTCTACATGCTGAAAGGGCGAGCATGTTTGGTGGGACGGGGATTCGAACCCGCGACCCGCAGATTGCGAGTCGAGCGCCCTAACCACCTGGCCATGCCGGGCCCACTTGGATGGAACATGGTTTACATAGACATGCCTTTATTAGCAACAAAGAAATAACCAACCACAAACTCACAAAGCAATCTAGGTGAAAATAATTATAGTTGAAAATTACAATTAATCTTAAAATCGTATATGTTAATGCAAAAATAACTTTATCTTATTCAGAATACCGTTATTTCTCAATACAATTCAAAAACTGAATGAAAAGGAGAGAGTAATTAACGTTGTTTTTGAAGCTTCAGAGTTAATTTTGCAAAGTACGAACAAGCATGGTCCGGGCGTGGCTGAATAGTTGGAGGGATCAGACTGTAAATTTCGATGACTCGTGGTTTGCGGCTCTTTACTTTGGGCTATAAAATTAGCGATCAAATCCCCATCTGTAAGTTAAGAGAAGCCCAAGAGCAGGCGATAATAAAATAAACGTTTTTGTGTATAAACATTAGTATATATAAAGTATACGAACCACAATTTTTTCTCTTGAAATTGTTTATGTATGTCATTTTAAATTTTATATTATGCCTTAGAATGTTTCATTTAATGTTTTTATTCCCACATACTACAGCATGTGTTTATACAGTAATCGTGTTTCTTTTATTTTTCTACTAGCTTTGTTTTCTGTGGACAGCCCGCAGATCTTGCTTATGCTGAACAAGTTAAGACGTTTTTCAAAAGTAGCGGCAACTGTACATCTTAATAGGTACTTGCACGAAGGAAGTTACTGTGGAAAGTTAACATTCGAAGAAGCTCACCGTGCAAAATATTCAAAACAAATGGAGTTATGTTAATGCTAGGAATATTCCTTTCGAACACATTATCACGTTTCTAAAACTATATTCGATATTAATATGTGGCGATTGTTGTAAAACAAACAAACAAAAAAACAAGATATTTATTCTGATTTTTTTTCCTGGAATAATATTAATAAAGGTGTTTTGTGCTTGCGTTGTAAATGAATGAATGGTTTGTCGAATAATTTTTGTTTGTTTTTTATTCTCTTCTGTAGCTGGAACTTGTTAATGAAGATTTATAAAGTTATTGTTCAAAGTAAAACATTTTTACTTCTAGAAATAATTGCAATCTTGTCATTGCTATGTTTTTCCGCAGAATTTTAAAAAAAGAAGTATATATGTTTATGTTTGAATGGGCTATTACAATGTTTGATGGGGCTATTACAATATTTGATGGGACTATTACAATGTAAAACATTTTACTGTCAACTTACGGTAAAAAAGGTTAGCAGTCGAACTGCCGTATCTTTTACTGTGAAAATAAGTTCAGATCCTTAAACTAATTGACGGTGTCTTCTGTTAACACGTGTGTCAATTTAAGAATAATACCCCTATGTAACCACTCCAATAACAAGAGAGCATTTATCGGCACATGTGTTAGTAAGGGGTGAAAAAAGCAGTCGAGTGTGGCTACATGCTAATACAGATTTATAAAATTTGCCATTTCCCTGAGAGATCCACACAATTGTTTAAAAATTACACAGACACATTCTAAAAATAAAACAGGAAAGATTAGGATGGCCCTCTGACTGTGTTACATCAGAGGCAAAACAGGAATTTATTGAACAGTATGCTGAAAAGAAAAGTGTGCAACTGACTCCTGAAAACACAGAGTTTAATCCAAGCAGAAGGCTAGTTAAAAACTTTGTCTTAACTCTTTCTGAGGTCGTTGGGGTATGTCTGAGGACAAATCACAACTTACCTACTGCTAAGCAGTATAATTTGTTAATGAATGATAACACCAAAAATTGTAACAGATGCTACGTTAGTCGATGACGAAGTGATTGCTCTTCACTGGAGGAGAGACATGAGCATGAGTATATACGTTAGGAAGATCAAACTAATATCCTTCTGGCGACTTTCACTACTGCTCACACGCATCTGAAATTGTACCACGCACTAGAAAGAGTAGGATCATTTGTCTTGTACTACAACATTTCAGATGGAACTAATAATCCACCTCTAAGTGGTTATCTTGGGGAATTTACAGACGAGCTTGATGGACATTACATCACATCATGGATCAGTAGTGGACCTAGGAAATACGAATACTTATGTGAAGATGGAAAGTCATGTTTCAAAATCAGAGGACTTATTATTAATTTTATCAACAGCCAGAAGTTAAACCTCTCTTCAATGAAGAGTAAAATATTAGATATTTTTAATCCTTCTCAGCATGACAGTAAAATTAGCCTAAGTAGCCTTCCTCTGAATCATTTCTACCAATTCAAAGACCTTTCTAAGGCAGGGAGCCAAACTGAACGTGATACTCCAAATGTGGCCTAACCTACTACCTATACAATGACATTATAGCCTTTAACTGTTTAGACTTCTGTTCAGTAGTTCTGCAGATACAACCTCAAATCCTATCTACCTTACCAATAGCAATAGCACACTGTTTGGAGATTGATAAACAAGAACACCATATATTTTTCTTCCATTAACTTTATCCCCATCAAAATTATCCACATAATTCAAATTATGATATCCGACATACATAGCCAAATCACCAAATAGTCTAAATCGTCTTGTAAAGCAACAGCATTCTCCTCATAAACAGGAACACATAAAAACTTAATATTACCAGCAAAGTTAAATAATTTATTTACCATTTCTTCAATATCGTTGATAATAATTAAAACATTTATGAGTTTAAAATATCATGACTGAAATAAGATTACGAATCTGATATGGACTGTATAAATCATTTTGCTAGAATTTGTCCGAGGTATATATTATGTTTTCACGGCCCCTAGATAGCAGCACAAGCATGAAAAGCATAATCATTTGAGTTGATCGCTATGTTTTGTAGCGAAAAAGGATTTTTACAGACGTTTCTGCTACTTCTACTACTATGGTACTACTATGACATATAACTATGGTAGAAAAAGTCAGTTATTTTTATCCATCCTTACTACTTGATATACCAAGAGATCTACCTGTTTTCTGACCATTCCTATACCATCCAGTAACTCTATTTCTCGCCTTTGTGCTCTAACAGGCTTGCTGCCATGTAAAGCAAAGATAAAACCCATGTGTTAGATATACACGACTGTTTAAGTTTAAAGCGAGTGTTATGATTTAGATGGTTTAAGTATAGCAAGATGTTAAGTCTTTAGAAGCGATAGTTTATTGCAGGTTTGTTTACATAACTGTTTTTAAATCATACATTGTGTAGTTCAATTTTTGTGAATCGGCGATTGTTATATTATTGAATCACGTTACTAGAATCCTCTAAATTTTGTCTTTGTTTTAATTGAGTATTATTGCATCATAATATCACGTAGTGTGTAGAATGGTCTAGGCCGCTGTCGGGCTGTAAATATGCGTTCAAATTGTAGTTCGAGTTAGTTAGATATAAATAGATAGATAGTTAGATCTAGACTGCATGATTGTAAGCTTAGCCATAAAGAGCGTATAGTGGCGAGTTTTAAAGTGAAACTATCACTGATTGTATTCTAATAATAGAGCAGAGAAGAACAATTCATCTTGTCAAATTGTGTTCTAGAGTAACTGAACCTGCCTGTGTGGACTTTGATGAAAAAGAGACCATTATTTAAAGCTCTGAATACAACTGTGATAACATACAGTGTAACAAATATTTATATATATATGTTTGACGTGTTTTAATATACTATTTTAAAACAAGTGGATTGTGTACTGTTTGTTTATTGTTGAAATGCATCTCTAAAACAAGTCACAGACACCTGCTGTAAAGACTACGACCCATCCATATATAGAAACCTGAAACCATGTATAAAATAAGCTGTTTCTTTACTGAGATATGTTGTGGTAGAAGAGTAGGCTTGGACATTTTAGGGGCGTCGGAACCGCTACCTCTGCTACTGCGTTCGCTGTAGCACAATTCTCGGTACCAAAAATGTTTACATAGGATAATTTTTCTATTTAAACTTTCCAAGTAGAGACAAATTTTCCTTTTAAATAATGTAAATGCAACAAACGGAGTTGCCTTCAATCCCTCCAAATCATCTGTTGTATGAAATTTGTATGATGTACATGAAGACGATAACCATAGAAACAACAATAGCAGCACAGTCGATTATATCAATTGATGAATCATGCCATCTCGAGTGGCTCGAGAAATTTAATGTGCAAAATTGTTTAACTGTGTCAGTGTTAAAAAGTAAGTTTATTTCAAGTTATATTTATTTTTTGTCGAATGTTATATTCTAAAAGGAAGAAGCAAAAATAATAAATGTACTATTTTATGTGACAAACATTGAATACATTCTGGTATCTTTATATGTATATTAGTTGCGATATCAAATATTTTCATTTGTATACTAAGGCAAATTATTATCACACATTACTTTGTTTTGTTATATCAAAATGTTTGTTACCTCATACTTCGAGAAGTGGAAAGATGCAATTCAATTGTTTTGGTATCATGAGAAGTCCAGTTGCCACAAAGAAGCAGTGGAACGTCTGATAACTTTACCAGCAACTATAAAACATGTCGGAGACTTGCTGAATAACAAAGCTGCTGACGACAGAAAGAACAGCAGAAAACAACTGCTTCTTGTCATGCGTGCTGTGAAATATCTTGCTTAGCAAGAGCTTCCTTTTCGCGGGTCTTCTCTCACGCAAGAAAATTACGGAAACTTTAAGCAGATTCTTAAACTATTCTGTTCTTTTGATGAAAACCTGGAATCTTGGTTGAACAACAACAAAAAACAAACAAATAAGTACATCAGTGCAGATATACAGAATGAAGTATTACAATTAATGGCTCTTAAATCTCTTCGACAAATCACAACTGCAATTCATGACAGGCCATTCCCAATCATGGTAGATGAGACAACAGACACCCAGAAACAAGCTGTAATTGTTATAAGGTTAGTGGGTTATTGCCTCGAGCCCCACGAAGATTTCATTGGAATGTATTATTATGCAACCATAAATGCTGAGGACAGTGCTATGGTGGTGCAGCAGTCATGCAAGGCTGCCGAAATGGAGTTACAACCAAGATATCAGCGATTGAACCTCGGGCTATTTACACCAATTGTTATGGCCATAGTTTGAATCTAGCCTGTCAAGATAGTATTAGAAGCATCAAACCTATGAGATACACTCTCGATGCCATTTTGGAATTATCCAAACTACTGACTTTTTCAGCCAAAAGAAAATCTGAGTATAAACGAATGCAAGAAGAGATAGCTCCTAAAGAACCAGGATTTAGAACTCTGTGCTCGACTCGCTAGACAGTTCGAGCATCATTACTATGCAGTGTTCTACAAAATTATTCCATTATCCAGTGTAGTTTGGACAACATCTCGGAAATGGCTAAAACTGATGTACAGATGTCGGTTTGATGCTCGGGTGTTGAGGCTCAATTCTGGTCATTCGATTTCCTTTTCGGCGTGTCATTGGGTGAAAATGTTCTCGCCATAGCTGATAATCTAAGTAAAAGAAGACCATTTCCGCTGTGCAAGGCCAATGAATGGCTGCACTGACCCTCAAATCGTTGACACTCTTGCGCAATGAGACATCATTTTTTTTTTCATTTTGGAAGAAAGTAGAATAAAAGAAAGATACAATTGATGTTGAAAAACCCAAACTTCCACGTCAGCGAAAGACACCACAACGATACAAAATCGGAGATGGAATAGAGTATTTTTTTGAGAATGTGGAAGACCACTACCATAGTTTGTACTTTGTAGCACTAGACGCTATAATTGGCTGTATCAAAAGTCGATTTGACCAGATAGTAATGCACTGATGCTGGCTGATGTCATGAACTACTTGAAGGAGCAGTTGCACCAGGACGATTACTGCTATTATAGGTATACAAATTAACAACACGCTACAAACACGTAAAATTATACTTTCGCAGTACAATGATCCAGTCACGGCAAAATCACTTTACATGTACATAAAGAGGCATGT